TTTAGGGTTTAGGTTAATGTAGGGGCCTAGATAATTACCAATACTGCTTTTTTTTCTGGGAGGGGGGGGTCCTTCTTACAACTATAGTATAATATACCCCAAAGCCCTACTCCAATTATTTAGGCCCCAATAGTATCCGAAACAAAGGGAAGCAGTGGGGGTATGTGGTTGAGGGTTTAGGGATGTTTCCTGTTTGGGGTTTAAGGGTTAAGAGTTTCGGTGATAAGGTGGATTTTAGTAGATAGGGCCGCAGGTCCTTTTTGCAAGGGTGCCGTAGTCTTCTGGGGACCTGCACAGAGAACCTGACTTAGAGAGCGAACCACAGGCCGGATCCGAAATGGGGAGTTCCGAAAATAGGGGACACTTATATAGAACCCCAAATGATAGGATCCCTATTATAAGGACCCCCCAAAAAAGGTACCCTAATTTTCTGAAACTCCCAAATGAAAGCCGATGGGACAGAATTGCCTCCGGCAGGACCCTGCGCAAGCTGTCGGAAGCTCAAGGGTGGAGCATGTTGTGCACACGCCGGCACCCATTTCACGCTCTAGACGTAGAGATGTTATTCAGTTCCAGCTGTTGAAAGTTTTGCCGCAGCTTACTGAACCCTAAACCCTAAACCCTAAACCCTAAACCCTGGGCTGTCTGCAAAGGAACAGAGAACTCGGAAGACGGATCAACTGTGCAAGTCCGCCTTGGCTCACTGAGCCCTGGCTGAGTCAGGTCCGCAACGAGTATTTCCTAAACAAGGAGGCCCGATACTCTCCGTCTCCTTGTGTGTGTGTGTGTGTGTGTCTGTGTGTGTGTGTGTGTGTGTGTCTGTGTGTGTAGGGGGGGCATGTAACGTCTTGTATGCCAAGTCCCGCAGTGCCGTTATGGTTCGATTTTCGGGTCAGGTTCCCCTGCAAGCTGCTGAGCTCATGGGGCTTGCTAAGAATCGAGAGGGTGTGGGAGTCAAGTTTTTTTTCTGTGCTGCGGCAGTGCGTGATATGCCTGCGAGCAAAGTTTTCAGTTGTACGGCGGCGAAGTTGACCTGTGCGTGAATTGCTTCTCTAGGACGAACAGTATGCCATGTTAAGCCGCACAAACTCGAAAACCCTAAACATAAGCCCCAAAAAATTCGGCCCATTCAAAGCTAATTTGCATATTCGTTTAGCGCTCTCTCGTGCTTGCAGATCGCACGGCGGAACAAGGAGCGCTGTCGAGGCGCTGCTGACAACTTGTTTTTTCATGGCCCTAGGGTTCATGTAGAAGACTTAATCATTAGAATAGGGTTTGAGGGGTGTATTCTACGATAACTAGAATAAGGAATCCCCAGGATGGTATAGGTAGTTATTAAGGCTCCTATGTTGGGGTTTCGGGCTCCGGAATTGGGGCTTGGGGTGTTCATTTTAAGACTGCATGATTGGAGTTGAGGGCTTCTGCTGACTTTGGGTTTGACGGCTTCACGTACCGGCTGAGGCTTTAGGGTGCGAGGGCTTGCGGTTCAAGAGATATTGGGTTTCGGTCTATACTATACCTCTTGAGTTGAATGGAGACACTTGCGCCTCACATACACCGTTGCCCCCACAACTCCATCCTAAACCCCGAAACCCCAAAGAATCCTCACACCATCTAAAGCCCTAACCCCAAGAGCCTCGACCCCAAGCCAGTGCGCCAAGCACCGTAGCCTCAACTCCAAGCAGCACTTGGAGGATCATCGGACTTAGTAAGTAAGGTTATAAGTACCTTAATGGGAGTTATAACTGATTATAACTATAGTTACCTTATTTATAATCCTAATTACTAAGTCCCATGATCCTCCAAGCATGTCGGAGGACCCGCCAGCCTTTCTCCAGAGAGGTCGGATGCAAGGCCCCAGCTTCAGCTGCAAGGGCGGGGGAGCCACTGTTGATGATATGGGAGTTTCCGAAAATAGGGGACCCTAATATAGTAACCTAAATAGTAGGACACTTATTATAAGGACCCCCAAAGTAAGGTACTGTTGATGACATCAACTACGTTGGTTTTTGAGACATTTTTGATGTTCCTTATGTGGGTTTATAAGGGGCCTTTGATATAGATATTTTTGAGAGGGTTTGAAGGCCAACCCAGTAAATCCTGCATTACCGCCCCGAAAGCCCCATTCTAGCAGTAGGTGTCGCAGGAATCCGATTCGCGCGGAGGCCGGAAGGCCCATCAAGCCATTAAGAGAAAGCTTGGCCAAGAGATCAAATCCTCCAACCCTGCAGCCCTAAACCCCTAAATCCTAGACCCCCTATGATCAAAAAACGATTTGTGATTTCAAGTTCTAAACCCTAAACCCTAAACCCTAAACCCTAAACCCTAAACCCTAAACCCTAAATACAGACACTGAAAGCCTCACTTGGCCCTTTGCCCAGAAGCTCCAGCGAACAGAGAAGCTCTTGGATAAATACTAAGACTGGTCCTTGGGGCTATGTGCGTAGTAGAACATACCCCAAATCCCTATTCCAGCTATTCTTGCCCCCATCACAAGTAGAGCCCTTTATACCCTTTTCTAATCATTCAGGCCCCTTTTGTTCGGCTCTTCAGCAGCTTCCGCTGCATAAAGAGAAAAAACCTAAATACTTATTCATATTACTGTTAAAGGGTTCCTTATTATAATTGTAGTATAATAAACCCCAAAACCCTAGTCTAATTATTAAGGCCTCTACAGTAAATGCTAAGGCCAGATCCCTCGCTGCAAGTGCCCCGTGGGGCGCCCCGGGCGGCCAGCGCCCCGCGGGCGCCGCCCCGGGAGCCCCCGCGCGAGACCCCCGAGCCGGAGGACAAGCGCGCCGAGGCGCCAGGGAGGTTTTATAGTAGGGGCCGAAATACTTACCTATACTAGGGTTTAGGGCTTTAGGGCTTTAGGGTTTTAGGGAGGCGCAAGAGGGAGGTAATACTTAAAGGATCATGGGACTTCGTAATTAGCGTTATAATAAGGTAACTATAGTTATAAGTAACTACAACTCCCATTAAGGTACTTATAACCTTACCCAGTAAGTCCCATCATCCTCCAAGTATTATAGGCGCCTAAATAATTACCTAGACTATTTTGGGGGCTCCTTCTTATAATTATGGTAGAGTGGGCCCCAAAAAAATCATTAAGGCCCCTATATTATAGGCTTCGGGGTTCAGGGTTTAGGGGTTTTGTAGACCTGGGTCACTGCTAGGGCTGGAGTGTCAGTGAGATTTGGACCCCATTGGGCTCTGAGGGGCTACGATCATATCACTGGTTCGCTTCACATCCAGAGAGTAACGGCCCAAGTGTTGGTTTGAAGACCCATGTGGGTGTCCGAAAATAGGAGACCCTATTATTATAGTACCCTAAGATAGTAGGATCCGTATGAAAAGGCCCCCAAAATAAGCCATAGTACCCTTAATAGTAGGATCCTTATTATAAGGCCCCCAAAATAGGGCACCCCTTATGTTCGGAAACTCCCATGTTGCAGCGGTGAGTTGTTGGAGGTGCGACGACGATCGCAAGAGGCACGTGCTGCGGAAGAGGCAGGGCCGAAGCAACCGCCCGAACCCTCGGCGGCTGTAGCCGGATCCTACTGTTGGCAACCTGGGTCGCGCTGTATGAATGCCTATATATGCATACATACATACATACATACATACATACATACATATATATATATATATATATATATATGTATGTGTGTGTATGTTTATGTATATCCATATATTAGTTTTTTGGCACGCATATGTATATATATATATATATGTACACACACATATGTATACATCATGGTTTGAGAGAATCTGCCCAGAGCCTCCTGTCTGGAGCTTACAGCCAAAGGCGGCGTGGAAGAAGAGACTCGAGGAAGCTCGCCGGCAGGTCGTCCAGGCGGGCACATCCCTTGGTGGGGGCCATCGCGGGACATGGTAGAGTCGAGTTTAGGGTTTAGGGTTTAGGGTTTAGGGCCTAGGCACTAGGGTGATGATGAAGAAAGGAAGATGATGATCAATAGCAGGGTCAGGGCTTTCAAATGGTGCATGTCATGCACGGACCCTGCTTCTAGAGCCTGAACCCCAGAACTACAGTGCATGTCATCGTGATCACCATGACCACCTGTTCATGCCTTCGCTGGACATTCTGAGAACTTGGTCAGCTCTCCAAGGTGGTTTTGGGGTCCTTTTCATATCTTTCACTGGCTACTATAGGGGCTTCAATAATTACCTATACTATTTTGGGGGTTGCTTTTTCTAATTATCGTGTACTGGGCCCCCAAACCCTATTCTAATTATAAAGGCCCCTATCTCAGATGCAGGAATGCAGCTCCTCGAAACCTTCCGTGGATGCTCGCAAGAGGGATTTTGCTTAGACAGAAGTGCTGTGTGGTGATCTAAACCCTAAACCCTAAACCCTAAACCTTAAACCCTAAACCCTAAACCTTAAACCCTAAACCCTAAATCCTAAACCTTAAACCCTAAACCCTAAACCCTAAACCGTCGGTGAGGACAAGATGGTCGCGAAACAGCGGATGGAGCAGGCCGGTGTGTTTCCGAGCATTGAGCTAAGGCTTTTCTCAGCAGACAAGTGAGATGGCCGTTGAGACCAGCCTGCTTGCAGCATGCATAGGGTTTTGGGGCCCATTATACTATAATTAGGGCTACAATTAGAATAAGGGACCCCCAAAACCCTATTCCATTATACTATAATTATAATAAGGAACCCCCAAAACCCTATTCTAATTAGTACGGCCCCAGACAAGAAACACAAGGTGCCCAAAGCCCTTTACACCCGAACCGTTAGTCCTGAGCCCTGACCCCGGAAACATCCGACGAGCCCTACAACCTTGAACCCAAGCCACGCCCCACTCCTACAGAAAACCATCACGAGGATTATCGTTCCCGCTTCGGTGGGCCAGAGCCCTCCGAGCGCAGCCAACGCCTCAGACCTGAGACAAGACATGACAGCCTTCGCAGTAGACCTGGTACCATAGGTTTAGGGTTTATAACCCAATAGGTTAGCCCTTAGTTCCCCTAGGATACTCGACAAGTAAGGATCAGTTTTCCGATTGATTTAAGTGCTCCCTCTATGCCACCATTGGATTCCCTTGCACTCCCTGGATATGGTACGCTGTAGCATGCTCTCCAAATCCCTCTGAAGCTATGTACTTGGAGGATCATGGGACTTAGTAAGTAAGGTGATAAGTAGCTTAATGGCAGCAAAAATTAAATATAACTATAGTTACCGTATTTAGAACCCTAGTTACTAAAACCCATGACCCCCTCAGTAGGCCGTAAAAAACTGCCACTCATTTTGCCCAGTTGGGGTCTATGTGGATGTTTGCTTCGGCCGGTCATACTTGTACAGCCAGTTAGTCCTACATGTTGTGCCACTTACAAAACTCATTTTGCTTGAAGGCTTCGAGGTGTCAGCTTTACTATAGATCCCTATTATGGTAACTTAATTTCCCTAAACCCTAAACCCTAAACCCTAAACCCTAAACCCTTAAATTAAATCCCTTAACAAGAGCCCAGTTTTGCTTGACTTCGAGGTGTCAGCAGCGATGCATCTCCCAATGCAACGCGACCTTCCGCGACTCGACTCCGGGGTCCCCGGCCCTTTTAGGGTTTAGGGTTTAGAGTTTAGGGTTTGGGGTTTAGGGTTTAGGGTTTAGGGTTTGGGGTTTAGGGTTTAGGGTTTAGGGTTTAGGGTTTAGGGTTTAGGGGGACCCAAAAAGCACATAAGCATAAGCTTCTTATAGGGATATCCCTACCTT